TGTGTCTGTGATGAGGAACTAGACTGGACATACTGCCTGGCTGACTCAGGAGGTCCACAGAGTTTCCTCCTTGGATTTTAGATCGTAACGTGTCACCAAAACTCACTCTTCTTTAAACCTGGTATCAGGGAGGCTTGAAATCCATGGATTGCGATCTACTGTGACCCTTCATCAAAATTCCTTTACTTTTTGGGAGCCATCGGAAGAGGAGCCGGAGGTCAAGGTCCCTAGCCCTCTTGTCTTTATTCACACCAGGGAATTAATGGGCTACCCAGGAGGCGGCTGCTACATGCTCACACAGCTAAGTTCCTCCCAGCTCAGCTGTCACATGTGTCCACTTGCTAACTTCCACCTCTGTGTCATGGTAAAGAAAGCTAAAAGCATGCAAAGTTCCTATGCAAGACAGGAAGAAGTGGCTTCGCAGTTCAAAGCTGAGACAAATTACTCGGCCACTGCTTCTTAGCTTTCCCTACTTTCTTGTTCCCTTCCTCTATTTTCCTTCTTTTGTTCTTCTTTCCCTTTTTTCTTTTTCTCCCCATTTCCCTCCCTCCCTCCCTCCCTCCCTCCCTCCCTCCCTCCCTCCCTTCCTTCCTTCCTTTCCTCCCTCCCCAACAAGACCTGAGATCCCCTCAAAGTGGTAAGCAAATTTCTGCTACACAAATATTGGTTGGGTATAACAAGTGCAGATCAATTTCGTCCTGTTCATCTCTCCCACAGCACTGCAAAGTCAGCTCAAGCCCAGACAGACCACACTCCCATCCCTCGAAGTTTCCTGGGTTTAAAAGGTTTTGCTCATGGTGGAGAGGTCTGAGGTTATATGGAAGCCAAAGTGGGCAGATAAAAGAGACAGGCCTCTTAGAATGTCACAACCTGGATTGAAACCATGGCCGCCTTCTTGTCCTTAAGAACACGGAGTTAAAACAAAGCCAACAGAACCAAACAAATGACCAAAAAAATTAGTGTTAGCAGAGATGCTTTGAGAGTCTTTTCTTTTCTTGACTGTATAAGAGGGGCTTCCCTCAGGTCACAAAGTATTCTTTGAAAACACAGTTTTTATGCATTTATTATGTTGTTATGTTTTTTCTCTTTAATGGCATGTTGAGTTTCAATGTTTTTTCATACATGTATGTATTATACTTGACCATATTCTGCCCCCCCAATTGCCTACTCTTGCTTTCCCTTTGTCCCTCTCCAGCATTTGCTTTTTAACTAACACACATATTTATAGACAATTTATAGGGCACCATGTGATTTTTGTTGTTGTTGTTTGTTTTTGAGGCAGGGTCTCACCATGTAGCTCTGGCTGACCTGGGACTCATTATGTAGACCAGGCTGACCTGGAGCTCATAAAGATCTACCTGACTTGGCCTCCTCAATGCTGGGATTGAAGATACGAGCCACTATGTCTGACTCACATGATATTTTTAAGACTCATATATACCTCATATATACATTGTGAAATGTTCAAACCATAGGAAACTTGTTTCTCCTCAAATATTTGTCTTTTGTATGGAAATACTCGAAACCCTTCTAGCTTTCTTTCTTTTAACTAGGAAGCACATGAAAATGTAGGTTTCTCTTTTAATTGGATGGGCTGTGGCTGGAACCCAGGGCTTCCCACATGGTAGACAAAGTGGCCTGCTCCCAGCCCTGAAGATATAATCTTGTTGACGTGATTACGCAGTATCTCCTCCTTCAGCTCTTCTTTCACGTATGTAGCTGGATCCCTCCTGTTGAATATGTAGGATTCCAGTTTTCAGCCTGGCATGTCATTGTGTGATAAACACTCTTGTAGGTCCTTTCCAGCTTTAGATGTCACCTGAGACTGTCCAGGTGACATTCTCTCAAGCCCCCAACTCTGGGACTGGTGAGAGACAAGGAGCCTTGAGCTACGGTCAGTGGATAGGTCTGGGTTCCCAGGGCTCCTGTGCTGTGGGGCTGCACCCTACCTGGAGTCTGCTCTGACTTCCTTTGTTTTCCACATCGGAAGCCTTGCACAGAGAGCCCAGGAATGGTGCTGCTTCGTGCCTCTTCCTCCCTCCACAGCTGCTCATACCTGTCCAGGCTCCCCTGTGGTTATCCAGAACTGTGATCTTCTCTTCGGCTGCTTGTGAGGCCACTTGACACCTAAGTTCTTATCTACACAACCATTTTTATTTTGCTTTGTTTTGTTTCTTAACAACAGCAGCAGCAACAACAACAACAACAGCATGCTACCTACTGTTACTTCTTAGACTTCAAAGAGATCTCATGCTAGAGAATGATCAAGTCTAAGGATTAGAATACCAGACACTGGGTGGAGCTAAAGGCCAAGCATCAGATTTGGGTATAAGAATATAAATAACAGGCCCGCATGGTGAAGCATGCCTTTAATCCTGGCACTTGGAGGCAGAGGTAGGCAGATCTCTGAGTTACAGGCGAGTCTACACAGTGAGTTCCAGGTCATCTAGGGCTTAACAGTGAGGTCTCAATTTATAGAACAGTGACATGGTTTCTGCTAATATTGCCAGACTTTAGAATCCTGTTTTATTGTGAACAACTGACACTTGCCTATCCACAGGAGGCTTTTCTCTTTTCATAAGTTTTCATGTTTATTTTTTATTGTACTGGATTATATAAGGACATTTTTAGACAAGTATACAATGTTCTTTGAACATCTGCCCCTCATATTCCATTTACCTCCCCCCTTTCCTGTGCTTACCCCCTCCTGTTAGTCCCCTGTGCAATGTGGAGGTACAGGAAGCTCAGCCTTCGGGAAGAAAGATGGCTGGAAGTCTGAGTCATCTGTCCTCACCATTCACCCAAGGATCTGGTGTCCTGTTGGCTGCGGTGATACTCCCTCTGTGTAAAACGATTGATCTTGCCGTCAATGGTACCCTAAGTACCTCATGGATCAGGGAATTGAGCAGTAAATTCAGCGACTAGAAGACACAGAAAAGGCCGTCTGTGAGTGAGAAGACATTCTGAGCTCCAATGAGTACCTTGAATGCCATCAGTAGATGGAGCAGTGGCTAGCTGGCCCATGGATCCTATCAGAACTGAAATTCAGCGTAAGGGGACGTCTACAAAGTTTGCATTTCTGCACCAAGTACCTGGCTTGATAACAGCTCTTGGCTTCTTCCACACAGCTGCAGAGAAGCTGGAGCCAAACCCTGCTTGCATTTGATGAGTCATCCTGCATCACCCATGTGGGACAGACACCCAGGAGCTCCTGGGGCTGCTGTGTCGGCCTCCTGCTTTTCCAGAAGATGGAGAGGCAGGGGTGAGGCACAGGGTTCAAGTACATGCTTAGCACGTAGTACACCTTTAGCGCCTGCAAGACAGAGGTTTGATCTCCGACACTCCCCAATGACTCCAGGACTCTGCTCCCAGCCCTGGAAACAGAAGACACATAGCTAAATTCCCAATCCCGGGACCAATCAGGCACGGAGTGATATTGTGAGTTAACTCTCCAAGACTCCCATCCATTCCTCATTGTTCACTTGCTGGCCCTAGGTAGAAAGACCAAAGAAACTGGCTGTACTTACATCACAAACACACAAGTGAGAGGATTTGGCAGTAGGTATATTTAGGAAAGCATATGACTGTGTGGATTTGTTCTCTTTATCTATTCTGAGGCCAGGGCTTCCTGCTATATTGAGGTTAGACATCAAAACAGGTTTTGAATTTTTCAAGAAGTTTAACCAAGTGTGAGTATAGAATTTACTTCTCTAGGGATTTTTAGTATTCCTGTGTGTATGTGCATTATATAATTTAAATGTCATTTTTTGGTTCTAGTTTGGTTTTGGTATTGAGAATTGAACCCAGGCCTTCTGCATGCTGAATGTGGTCTCTAGCCCTGAGATACTCTGCTCCTAAAAGTCACTTTTTTCCCCCCTCCCAAGACAGGGTTTCTCTGTGTAACCTTGGCTGTCCTGGAACTTGCTCTGTAGACCAAATTGGCCTCAAACTCCTAGAGATTCGCCTGGCTCTGCCTCTCAAGTGCCTAGTAGTTGCTATTCATTTGCCTTATCTTATACGAACCTCAGAAAGGCATAATAACATATTTATCATGAACTCCATGGAAACCAGCCAGAAAAAATGAAGTGATTTTTTTTCAAGTGAAACGAATGGTTGTTTGGTGTCTAAATACGTTCCTGCTTGTATTTTTCCAAGGGATATTATATGACTTCCCGAGACATCTTAAACAAAAGACCGTGGAAATATTTTCAAAGAACCTTTCAAACATTTTCTGTAGCCCTCCCTGTACTTTGTGAGGGTCGGGTTTGTCTAGATGGGCCTATCCTCAACATGGCCACAAGATGTCAGGGTAATCTCGTTCATGGAAAAACTGGCTTCATTTGGGGCACCAGAAGAGAGGGCTGAAGGGCTTCTTTTACTGAAGATAAATGAAAGCCACAAATAAATAAATGAGTGAGTAAATAAATAAACAATACATAAATAAAACCGAGGAAGAAAGACAATAAAGCAAAAAGCCCTTGGGGGCTGCATAGGTTAGAAGGCTGGAAATCTCCTGCTGCTTTCTTTCCATTTTAACTCAAGCATTGAGAGTTCAAACAAGCCTCTGTGTCACCTCTGTTTGCTCTCGGAGGCAGGAGGTCAGGCCTTGGGCCAGCCCCTTAGCGTACGTTATTCATCTGTCCAGCTCCAGCTCTGGAACAAATGTGAAGAAATGAAGTCGCTTCAGTGGAGGGGAGACAGTGTTGTTATTGTTGCTGGTGACGGTTCTATTTGCCAACACGCATAAAAACATACTTTGGAACCCAAACAGGCTTGTCAGAGGGAACTTTTGTTCCATGTTTGGGCTGGGATGCTTCCAGGGCGAAATCGGGCTGGCATTTGAACTTCAGGAGGCCAGGAGAGAGCTGTGCGCGGCAGCCACTGACCGGAAAGGCCGGCCATCAGCTGCAGTGTTGCATCTGGGTGTTATTTGACCGCAGTCCATGTAGCTTGGGCTGCCAACTGGGGTCACTGCTCTGAATGAGTACTGCGGGGGAGGGGCAGGGCTCTGCAGTCCAGGATGGCGGACTGGGCCACAAAAGGGGATAAACAAGCTTAGGAGCTTGAGTTTTTGGAAGGCTGGCCCTCACTTTAGGGCTTTGGAGAGAGAAAGTGGTCCTGCTTCTGTGGGATTTATTTGCTGTCGGGTCTCAATTACCCCAAACTCGCTGGCAAATGCCTACAGGATCCCTTTGCTACGTGGATTAACTGCCCTGGGGACAAAGCCGTCTTTGCTGCGTATGGCGAGAGTTTAGGGTAGAGAAACTCTTGGTAATGCCAGTCTCAAGAAGCATGATTCAGAAAGCCTATCTGCCTTTCTCTGCTACTGTTACATAATTCAAGCTGAAGGTCCCATCCGCAGCTGTCGGGCGCCTCCTCCCTCTGCAGATGGAAGAAGCTCGCTGGATGGGCCGGCTTACACTAATCTATCTATTTGGAAAGCGGGGTGGTGATAAATTATGACCATGGCGAGTATCATTAAAATGCAGTAGCGCCAACAAGCACTTTGAATGTGAATTCCCAGTCCTCTCACAGCTCTGCAAGGCTGTCTGGGACATCACTAAACATTTTAATTTCACCTTGAACTCCCAGGCTAAGGGAGACTCACTGTTAGGGACTCCGGAACCCAAATATCCGTGTCTGGAGTGGCAAGCTCCCCACAGGAGGAGCCTGAGAGTTCCTATAAGTGAATGAGCTTCTTATTTTGTAAATAAAGTAACAGCTCAAGGAAATGAGGTGATTGCCCCAATTATACACCTAATTGGTGGCAGATTAGGGACAAGAGCACAGCCCATGACTGCTATTTCCTATTCCACTTTTGCTGTCTAGAATTTAAAGATACCTCTAGCTTTACTTTAACTTGATAAATTAATTAACTTATTGCAGAGCTGGGTCTGGAACTCAGGGATTCTGAGCACACTAGGCAGGCAGTCCCCACTGAGTTTCAATCCTCCCCCGATTTATTTACTTTCAAAAGCCTTATTTTAGACTCCAGGTTTTGTGTTTTGTTTTTTGTTTTTTTTTTTTTTCCTACAGTCAGGCCAGAGGCCACCCAGAGCAGTCTCTGCTACCAGCCTCTAGATTCATTCCCATCTCGGCCACAGCTACCCTGCCTTGTAAACCTTAGCTGACTCTAAAGCTAAAAAGTTGGATTTTGAGTATTTAACCTTAGATATGTGGGCATTTAGGACGGAATATGTTTCATAGTGAGCATGGCCTGGCAGACTTTGTTTAGAAAAAATCAGAGAGTCGGTATTTTGGGTTCGGGGGACCATACTTTAGATAACAATTTTAGCTGAAAATATCTTTGTCATAACTACTCAAATTTGAGTTCCAGGCATGAAAACAGCCAAAATACATGAGGCATCGAGGCTCATGTATATAGTACCAGCACTTGAGTGGGTGAGGCAGAGAAAGGTCATAAACTCAAAATCAGCCTGGTCTACACAGTGAGTTTAAGGCCAGCCTGAGCTACACGAGACCCTGTCTCAACAAAACAATAAACAGATAACAGAAAAAATACCTACACATTAGATGAGGTGAATGAACATGGCTTCCTGGGGATAAATTTAGTCCTCAGGACAAAATTTGCTATTTTTACAACGATGAGCTCCAATTTTGAGTTCCTTCAGCGCTTTATGGTCTGAGCTCCGTCTTTATGTCTTGCTCAACCTGAGCTTATGAGAAGGCGTCTCAGTCAGCTTGGGCTGCTGTAACAGAAGGCTAACTGCTTCAAACACCAGACGTTTTCCACAGTTCCAAAGGCTGGGAAGTTCAAGGTCAAGGAGCTGGAAGGTCCTTGTGTGTCTGGTGAAGACCCTGCATGCCTTTGTAGGTGACTGTGTGTGTGTGTGTGTGTGTGTGTGTGTGTGTAATCCTCCCTCTCCCCCCGTTTTTGAAATCATCTCCTTGTATAGCTCAGGCTAGCCTGACTCTCACTGTGTAGCTCAGGCTAGCCTGAATCTCACTGTGTAGCTTAGGCTGCCTTGGACTTTACTGTGCAGTTCAGGCTTCTTTAAAACGCACAGTACTCCTGCCTTGGCCTCTCAAACGCTGAAATTACAGGCATGAGCTGCCACATTCAGCATTTGTGTTTCTTATAAAGCTATTAACCCCATTTAAGAGTGCCCCTCCATGGTTTGCACTAGGCTTAAAATCTTCCCCCAACCCCCATCTTCACATCTTTTCACTTGGAGGACAAAGGCTTCACTATGAATTTGGGATGGAGGACAGGCACCCAGGTTCACTCACTAGCAGATGAACCGGGAGCAAAGTCTGAAGACGAAAAACTGAAGGGGGAAACAGAGGGAGGGATATTAGACTGTCTAGTGTGTGTCAAACACCCATGTGTGGGGCCTTGGATCACGGCATTTTTTTTTTTTAAATCCTCACAGTATCCAGGAGGTAAGTACCACGCTTAAAAATATGCTCAGGTCTTGTTAGTGGTCGGGCTGTGTCTAAACTAGTGCCACCGATACCGATTCTAGTCAGTGCTTTTCGTCAGCCAGGCAATAGCTTTTTTAAGGAATCTTCTTTCTGGTGGGCGCAGGGTGATCTGTCCATGCTGAACTCCCACGTCCTCCTTTTCTGCCTCCTACACGGTTGTTGAACGTTTTGAAGGGGTAGGAACTTTTATTTGTACAATTCATCTAATGCTCTCTTTAAAAACCGCTATTTTTAGAGGGGCTGGGGATTAGGTTCTCGCGCTTGCCTAGCAGAACCACAAATCAAAACACAAAACAGAAAGGAAACTTTCCACTCTTGTCTCAAGTTAGCGTGCAGCCCAGATTGAGTTATTAGGTGCAGGACTCCCCCTTATTCCGCAGACGTCAGGAGTCCTTGGTGGCAGTGTGGGAGTCCTCCCCAGCGCAAAGGGACTTCGAGCCTCTCCAAGGCAGGCGTGGCTTGCCGCCAATGGGCGTGGCCTGTCTTTGGGAGGAACCTGGAGAGGCCCCTCTCGGTAGCATAGGAGGGGTGGAGGGATGTTCAACTCTTTCGGAGAAGTCCCTTTTCTTCTCCGTTTTCGCTTTCCCGAAGGAGGAGGGATCGGACAGTCCCTATGGCCTGTCAATTAGAGGAACCTGGGACTACGGTGGCTCTTCGTGATGAAGTCATTAGCTAAAAATGTGAACATGCCCCGGCTTCCCGGATAATCCGGAGGCATTACTGGATGTAGAAAAACTGCCACTTGGTGCCGCGACTTCTCCTTTTGCAGCAGAGTTCAGGTCACCCTCACAGAGGGATCTGAATGAAAATTTCCAGCGAGTTTGGAAGCCGAGTAGGCAGTACGCTAGAGTGTCCGCTCAACCCCTGGACCTGGTAGTGAAGGGAAATTAGGGCGTGCGGAGGGGCGGGAGGAGAGGGTGCTTTTGAACACATGGAACTCCATCTTCGTGCTTGTTTTCAAGTCTGTAAACTGAGGCCAGGAAGTGACCTTTTCAAATACACAGTCCCTTTCAAAGAGTACTAGGGATTGGAGGGCCAGGACGTGCTATTTTGTTTTTACAGTTTAAAGCAGTGGTTCTCAAAGGGTTGACCGACCCTTTCACAGGGGTTGCGTATCAGATATTTAAATATGATTATGATTCGTAGCAGTAGCAAAATTGCAGTTATGAAGTAGCAAAGAAAATAATGTTGTGGCTGGAGGTCACCCCAACGTGAGGAACTGTGTTGAAGGGTTGCTGCCTTAGGAAGGTTGAGAACCACTGATAGGAATCGAACCCAGATCACACTTGTTTCTGAGTAATCAAGTTTTTGTTTACCTTTTAATTTAAGTATATGTTTTTATATACAGATCTCTTAATGTTGTTGAGTACAGAAAAACTCTGTGTTATACTTGTTTTAGACATTTTTAATGCTTACAAGGGTTTTCTTTCTCATACAGTGATCTGGCACCCATGCGCTATTTTTAATGTTTTTCTTTTTTTTAAAAAAACATTTATGCAAAGGACCCGGATTCAATTCCCCGCACCCACATGACAGCTCATTCTTGCCTGTAATTCCAGTTTCAGAGTATCCCACACCCTCACACAGATATACATGCAGGCGAAACTAGAATGCACATGAA